TAGGGGATGAAAGATTGGATATCAGATTGGAGGGAGAGAGTATTGAGGAGGTGAACGTATTCAGATATTTGGGAGTGGACGTGTCAGCGGATGGGTCTATGAAAGATGAGGTGAATCATAGAATTGATGAGGGAAAAAGAGTGAGTGCTGCACTTAGGAGTCTGTGGAGACAAAGAACTTTGTCCTTGGAGGCAAAGAGGGGAAATGTATGAGAGTATAGTTTTACCAACGCTCTTATATGGGTGTGAAGCATGGGTGATGAATGTTGCAGCGAGGAGAAGGCTGGAGGCAGTGGAGATGTCATGTCTGAGAGCAATGTGTGGTGTGAATATAATGCAGAGAATTCGTAGTTTGGAAGTTAGGAGGAGGTGCGGGATTACCAAAACTGTTGTCCAGAGGGCTGAGGAAGGGTTGTTGAGGTGGTTCGGACATGTGGAGAGAATGGAGCGAAACAGAATAACTTCAAGAGTGTATCAGTCTGTAGTGGAAGGAAGGCGGGGTAGGGGTCGGCCTAGGAAAGGTTGGAGGGAGGGGGTAAAGGAGGTTTTGTGTGCGAGGGGCTTGGACTTCCAGCAGGTATGCATGAGCGTGTTTGATAGGAGTGAATGGAGACAAATGGTTTTTAATACTTGACGTGCTGTTGGAGTGTGAGCAAAGTAACATTTATGAAGGGATTCAGGGAAACCGGCAGGCCGGACTTGAGTCCTGGAGATGGGAAGTACAGTGCCTGCACTCTGAAGGAGGGGTGTTAATGTTGCAGTTTAAAAACTGTAGTGTAAAGCACCCTTCTGGCAAGACAGTGATGGAGTGAATGATGGTGAAAGTTTTTCTTTTTCGGGCCACCCTGCCTTGGTGGGAATCGGCCAGTGTGATAATAAAAAAAAAAAAAAAAAAAAAAAAAAAAATCAGGGAAACCGGTTATTTCTATGTAGCCGGACTTGAGTCCTGGAAATGGGAAGTACAGTGCCTGCACTCTAAAGAAGAGGTTCAGGATCTTAGCAGTTTGGAGGGATAGGTTGTGTGTCTTTATATGTATATGCTTCTAAACTGTTGTGTTCTGAGCACCTCTGCAAAAACAGTGATTATGTGTGAGGTGAAAGTGTTGAATGATGAATGTATTTTCTTTTTGGGGATTTTCTTTCTTTTTTGGGTCACCCTGTCTCAGTGGGAGACGGCAGACTTGCTAAAAAAAAAATATTTATTTATTTACTTATTTATTTTTAACAAGTCCGCCGTCTCCCAATGTTCTTACATAGATTAAACTATGACCAGTTTTGAGATATCAACTATTTCTGCAGCCAAGTCTGCAATTAGATTGTTTCTGTGAATTATCCAATCAATCATGCTGTTGCTGCCTATGGTAAGCAGACCTATATAGTCATCGTGCTCTAGCTATTCTGGAACTCGAAGAAACTGGTACAGTTCTTTCATATTATGATAGCATGTGAATCACACAAGGTAAATACAGGAGAGCCCCGCTTTACAGTGCCTTATTTTACAGTTTCGATAATGCAGCAATTTTAAATTATACCCATTCTTCATTTATTCTGACTTCCTACAATAAATATATTCACCACTCACTATAAGCTTCAGAGAAATATTTTAAGTTAAGTAATACATGTACAGTTTATGCATTTTTTTTAGCCCTAGCACTATCGCTCACTTAATATATAATAGAATAAACATATTACCAGGCTTTTATGTGAGTTTGAAAGTGATAAAAGACTATGCTTCACTTTACAGCAGTAGCCTATATAGCAGGTTAAACAGGGCCCTCCTGTACAAGACAAAGAAGAGGTTCTGTACCAGAGGTGACTCTAGAATAAGGAGGTATCTCCAATATGTAGGTTAGGTGTGAATTGCTGTAGCCAAGGTACTGTGACTTCAACAGTGACAACACTGGTGACCGGGACAAGTTGACAAGAGGGTATAGAATTAAGTTCTGCAAAGTAAACCTTTATTTTGGAACAATTCCCTCAGGATTGAGCTTTATCAAATATGACTTGGGATTTCACCAAGCTCAATCCAAAGCAAAAAGTTTTATTCTGTCTATGTGTCTTGATAACCAGTGACAATATTGTTGGTAGAAACATTACTGAGAGAGAAAGACACACAGTATCACAGACCATCAAGAGAACATATACTATCACCTATCATGTTTAAACACATCCTCAAATACACGAAAACACCGAAGACCTGTTTACTTACTGATGGCGATGTTTAAGTCTCGTCTGGCGACAAAGCCAACCAGGTACTGAGACTGCCTGCTTACAACTACAGGGAATCCATTGTGGTCCGTCTCTCGGAGAAGCTGCTCCACATCATCCAGAGTCATGCTGTCTTGTGTGATCACATAGAATGACTCGTTCTTCCTGTTGAGGGTATATGAGCAAATGAATTGATGGCTAATGGACAAAACGCAAGTACAGCCTCTCCTTACTTAACGATGGAGTTCCGTTCTTAAGACAACGTCGGTAAACAAATATGTCGCTAAGAGAGGACCATACTATAATGGTACTGGGTTTATGTCAACCATCTTTGATATTGTTTTAATGGCACCTTTGCACCATTTATAACATTTCTGATGTATTTTTAAATGTTTACACAGTAACATACTTTATACTGTAATAAACAGAACAGAGGAAACCATCTCTAATATACATTATTTAGGTAAGCAACTGGTCAGATCCCCGGTCCTAAGTCTGAGGCATCAGTAAACGTGTATGTCACTAAGTGAGGAGAGGCTGTATTGGCATACCTCGCTAATGTGGCGCTTTGCTTTTGAGTGCTTCGCTAATATGACGCTTTCCATTTTCTGGCCATCTCCCACCAAGGCATGGTAACTCGAAAAAGAAACACTTCCACCATCACTCACATTATCACTGTCTTGCCAGATACATGCAGGTACGACACTTTAGATGTCCCTCTAAAACAGAAAATATTCTGAACCCCCTCTTCAAAGTGCAATCACTGTACTTCCCACCTTCAGGACACAAGGCCGGCTAACTGGTTTCCCTAAATCTCTTCACAACATATTATATTCACAAAATATTATTTTTTTTTAACATGTTGGCCGTCTCCCACTGAAGCAGGGTGACCCAAAAAGAAAGAAAAAAACTTTCATCATTCAACACTTTCACCATCATTCATACATAATCAATGTCTTTGCAGAGGTGCTCAGATACAACAGTTTAGATGTCCCTCCAAACTGCTAATATGCCAAACCCCCTCTTTAAAGTGCGGGCATTGTACTTTCCATTTCCAGACTCAAGTTCGGCTAACCAGTTTACCTGAATCCCTTCACAAAATATTACCATGCTTACACTCCAACAACCCACCAGGTCCCAAAAACCATTCGACTCCATTCACTCCTATCTAACATGCTCACACATGCTTGCTGGAAGTCCAAGCCCCTCGCCCACAAAACCTCCTTTACCCCCTCCCTCCAACCTTTTCGAGGACAACTCCTACCCCACCTTCCTTCTCTTACAGATTTATATGCTCTCCATGTCATTCTACTTTGATCCATTCTCTCTAAATGACCAAACCTCCTTAACAGCCCCTGTTCAGCCCTATGACTAATACTTTTAGTAACTCCACACCTCCTCCTAATTTCCACACTACAAATTCTCCGCATAATATTTACTCCACACATTACCCTTAGACCTCCTCCTCGCTGCAGCATTTACAACCGATGCTTCACATCCATATAAGAGTGTTGGTACCACTATACTCTCATACATTCCCTTCTTTGCCTCCATGGATGATGTTTGTCTCCATAGATACATCAATGCACTGCTCACCTTTTTTTCCTCTATCAATTCTATAGTTAACCTCATCCTTCATAAGCCCATCCACTGATAAGTCAACTCCCAAATGTCTGAAAACATTCACTTCTTCCATGCTCCCTCCCTTAAATGTGATATCCAATTTTTCTTTATCTAAATCGTTTGATACCCTCATCACCTTACTCTTATCCATGTTCACTTTCAATTTTCTACCTTTACACACCATCCAAAAACTCGTCTACCAACCTTTGCAACTTTTCTTTAGAATCTCCCAGATGCACAGTATCATCAGCAAAAAGTAACTGTGTCAACTCCCATTTTGTATTTTACTCCCCATAATTTAATCCCACCCCTCTCCCTAACACCCTACCATTTACTTCTTTTACAACCCCGCCTATAAATATGTTAAACAACCATGGTGACATTACACATCCCTGTCTAAGACCTACTTTTACCGGGAAGTAGTCTCCCTCTATCCTACACACCCTAACCTGAGCCTCACTATCCTCATAAAAACTCTTTACAGCATTTAGTAACTTACCACCTATTCCATATACTTGCAACATCTGCCACATTGCTTCCCTATCCACTCTATCAGATGCTTTGTCTAAATCCATAAATACAAAGAAAACTTCCCTACCTTTATCTAAATACTGTTCACATATATGCTTCAATGTAAACACTTGATCTACTCATCCCCTACCCACTCTAAAACCTCCTTGCTCATCCATAATCCTACATTCTGTCTTGCCTCTAATTCTTTCAATAATAAACCTACCGTACACTTTTCCTGGTATACTCAGTAAACTTCTTACTCTATAATTTTTACAATCTCTTTTGTCCCCCTTCCCTTTATATAAAGGAATTATGCATGCTCTCTGTCAATCCCTAGGTACCTTCCCCTCTTTCATACATTTATTAAACAAAAATACCAACCACTCCAACACTATATCCTCCCCTGCTTTTAAACAGGGGGGGGGGGGGTATAGTGTTGTAGTGCTTCATCCTCATTCATTCTATGTAATGCCTCCTGCACCTCCCCCACACTCATATCCTGCTCTTCTTCACTCCTAAAAGATGTTATACCTTCCTGACCAGTGCATGAAATTACTGCCTCCCTTTCTTCAGCAACATTAAAAGTTACTCAAAATATTACCATCATCTACCCAATAATTTCCATCTACTAACTCCCTACTCTGTTTTTAACTTACAAATCAATTCATTCCCTAGGCTTTCTTAACCTGTTTACCTCACTCTAAAATTTTTTCTTATACTCAGCAAAATTTGTTGATAGTGCCTGTCCCACTCGATCATTTGCTCTCCTTTTGCACTCTCTCACCACTCCCTTCATCTTTCTTATACTCTCCATATACTCTGCCCTTCTTATATCACTTCTGCTTAGTAAAAACCTCTCATAAGCTACATTTTACTCTTTTATCGCACCCTTTACCTCATCTTTCCTCCCACCCACCCTCCTATACCCACAAACTGCTGCCCTACATTCGAACACTGCATTTTTAAAACTATTATATACACGTTCATTATTTTCAGCAGTGACGTTATTCTTATTATTTTTACTTTTGCATCATTATTTTTTAGGCCTAGCCCTACTGGAGACTTAATAAATGACTTAACCCTTTCAGGGTTTCTGACGACTATACGCTTACGCACCAGTGTTATTTGACGTACTAGTACGCCTAAATTCTAGCGCAAGGAATGAATAGAATGAAATTGGGTGAGCAGGTAGGAAAAATGGGATTAGATGGAAGCCATGGAGGTGGGAAGTACAGGCCTGTGAACTCTGGAAGAGGGGTGGAATATGCTGCAGTGTTTGAACTGTTAGGCATCTTCACACCTCTGGCAGGACAGAGATGGAAATGAGTCATGAGAAAGTGTTTCTTCTTTTTTGGATCACCTGCCTCAGTGGGAAACAGCTGACGTGTATGTGAAAAGAAAAAAATATGCAGGTTGGGATATAGTTTAAAGTGGTAGTGCATGTTTTCGCTACAGTGGAACCTCCGCTTACAAACGCCCACCATGTGATTTTTTTCCGGATATGGGACCGTCGTTGGCGATTATTTTGTTCTGGATACGGAAGAAAGAAATTTCAGGATGTGAACTTTCCCTTCAATGGAATGGTTCCTTAAATAAAGTATAAAATATTTTTTTTATTTGCAATGGTTACAAATGTGTGGTTTACATATCATACTATGCTTGGAGCAGAGAAGCCACTATCATGCTGAGGCATTTCGGAAGACTTAACCTTAATACTTATAGACTACTTAAGTCTAGACAGGTGAAAGTGTACTAGTAGTAGTTACCAATGGTTTGCTGATGGTGGTGTCAACTTTTGGCAGCCTTTTGAAGTTTCTGTTATTTTCTAACATTGTATTTTATTATTATTATTATAATAATTTATTTATTAGTATGTATGTGGAATGGGTCTTGATTATGGAACTGGATTTCTGTGCTCCTCAGTTCCCAAACTAATAATAATAATAATAATTACATATGTAATAATACTTACATACCTACTTATACTGCTACTACTAAAATAATAATACAAATTAATAGTAATAATTAATGTGTTGTCATTTTTAGGCATTTTTTTCGTATTTTTTTTTTTGTCATCTTTTTGTGTCAACTGCTTCAAACTAGAAATAGTAACCTCTGGGGTGGCTGTGGGTACAGCTGCACGACCAACGGCTACCTCAGTGCCAAACAAGAGTCCAAAGGTAGAGGAGGTTATGCGCTCTGAGTGATTGCAGCACAGGTACCCATGGGTGTGTAATTTGTTTATATTGGACAAATATTTCTACCACAATGCTCACCCAAAGAGACAGTAGTTGTGGTACAAATCAGCAACAAGAATGCGATTGAAATATGAATAAAAGAACTAGATGAAAACGATAGGGCGCAGCACAGAGTGGGCAGTGGGCGTCACCACCCACCACTGTGGCCACAGTGACATGTCTTCACTATATATATATACATCTGTCTTGACCCACTGTGGTTACTTATGTGGGACACCTTCACCATTAATCATAGATAAACATAAGCTAGGTGTTGGGGTTATGGACGGAAGATTACTAGGGGGGGGGAGTGGGACAGTAAATGGCGGATGCTTTTGTGCTGCCGGTTTGTCGCCTGTCCCACTTGCCCATATTACGGCCTATTTTATTCATTCTAGTGTATTATCATGTTATTAATATTGTTTATTATGTCATATTAGATGAATTGTGTAGTTAACGCAGCCACTGAGTTGATATTAGCATTATTTTGTCATGCCTCCTAAGAGGCTGGAAAGGATAATTGCATTTCTAGTAATTTAAATGAGGAAAATTGACTCAGGATACGAACAAGGTCATGGAACGGATTTAAATTCATAAGCAGAGGTTCCCACTGTATATGCAACAACTAATGTTAGGTATCTAAGGATTGCAGATAGCCTACAAGAAAAGTTCCCTTACTATAAAGGAAAAGGCACATAAGGAGAGTATGTTTTAAGAATTATAAAGGGAATAAGCCTGCTGAATACACTGGGCTAAGTGTAAGCAGAATGGGGGTTAAGGCCAGAGTTAGAACTAGAGAGAAAAACAGGACTGCAGAGGAACAAGGAAGATTTAAAAATAAGTCTTGTTTACATGGAAGTATATTGAATAAGATTTAAGTAAGGGTAAGGAACTGTTCGCTGCATTTATAAAATTTGGAA